CCTGTGACTTTATAACTCATATCATATAACCTTAAATTCTATCCCACCCTAACAGACACTCTAGAAGATGCTCATTCTTGGTTTAGAAGATACAGCCTCCTAGATTTGTCTCTCATTACTTCATCTTTTCCTACAAAACCTTAGCTTAGCTATTCTAAATAAAGAGTGCAATTACCATCTAGCTATCAAATTGCTTATTAATCCCTGGTGATTATAAATAAATATGTGAAGCTATCCTGGGGTGGGGGGTAAAAGGGAATAGAGAGGGGGAAATGGAAAGAAAATAGAAAGGACACCAGTAGACAAAAAGAACAAGATACTCCAGAAATCTTGCATCTCAGTGTCACCAGGATTTCAAAGAATGCTTCACCACGGGTCATTTTGTGAGCAGTAGTGAAAAAGAAATCAGAAAGTTATCTAATCAAGAGCTAATCAACTTAGATGCTCCTTCCATACAGCTCAAAGTAAGCTTTATGTTGAGTTGAAGGCTGAAAGAGAGAGCCAGGGATCATTTTCCTTCTGAAAGCTGTTCGCTTTTCTTCCTTTCATAAACTAGACTGAGCCAGAGAGAGTTCCTTGCAGTGGATGGTTCAAGATGTGGGCTTGAGTTCCAAACACTTAATATGTGCTCATGTAACCACCCAGCACTCTTACTGTTAAACCTTCCCAGTAAGAACCTTGCTATGTGAGTGTCTGTCTCCTTGAAAAACCATTAGGCAATTACATTGCAAAGTCATGAAAAATTACTTCCTCTAAAACTTATGAAGAAATCAGACACCTGCGTGTACAATGTAGTCTTAAAAGCAAAATGACATGATTACAAGGTCAGTGGTTTTTCTTTTGACAGATGTTATCTGGGCAGGATTCTGGCTCCTAGAGAGTGGAGAAAAAGGAAAAAGACAGAAAGAAACAAAAGCCAGTAATGGGCAGCAAGATCAATCCAGTGAAAAATAATTTTAAAGAGAATATACAAGAATTATGAGGTATGGAAAGCATAGGGTGGCAACATTTAGTTATTCCTTTGAAGACGAATCTAATGTTACTCTGCCCCTGGGGTTTGACTGCACCACTGTGCACCCCATGGAACTCTTGCATTCCCCTAACTTTCCTTCACTCTGAATATGCTGGTTAAAAATATACTTTTGATACAAAACTAATAGAGAAAATGGCAATTTATTCTGCACGTTAAGAGCAAAGGACCACTTGTAGAGTTCTCCACCAGGAGAAAACACAGCATACGGCAAGGAAAAAACATATTTAATATTTGTACATAAAGCAGATCTAGTCTTGTTTGGAATCTTCAAGACACCACAATGATGAAATAAGAACAAATTCTGAACATCAGTTATTAATCCTATATGGTTACTGAGAAATTTGTTACTGCAGATAGACATCTGATACTGTCTGCCACAACTGAATCTCACTTTTATTACCACTTCACATATCATTCACTTCACTGACCCTTATATCCTATGTAAGAGTTTTAGCTCAGGAAAACCGAATCAATTTACTATGCATGAAATGCCCCACAGACTCCCCTGATGCAATACAATTCCATTCCTATTGGGCTGATCCTTCAAGGAACAGGCAATAGTTACCACAGACATATGTCAAGACTCAAGGAGGACCAAACTCACTGCACCAAAGAGAAAGTCTAAGTAAGGAATGGAGGCAGAATTAGCACAGATATTTCTGCAGCAATAATTAGTGGTCATCTCTAAGACAGAGTCCAGAGGAGGCCACCAAGTTAATTGGTTGGATGGAGCAGCTCTGCTGTGAGGAAAGGCTGAGAGAATTGGGATCATTCTGCCTGGAAAAGAGGAGGTTCTGGGGTGAACTAATTGCAGCCTTTTAGTACCTGAAGGGAGTCTACAGCAAAGATGGAGAGAGACTATTTAAAAGGGACTGGAGTGACAGGACAAGGGGAAATGGCTTCAAACTGACAGAGAGTAGGCTTAGATCAGAGATTAGGAAACAATTCTTTACCTGAGGATGGTGAGGCACTGGCACAAGTTGTCCATAGGAGCTGTGGCTGCCTCATCCCTGGAAGCCTTCAAGGCCAGTTTGGATGGAGCTGTGGGGATAGTGAGAGGTGTCCCCACCCATCCCAGGTGTTGGAATTAAATGATCTTATTGCTCCCTTACGATCCAGGCCATTCTATGATTCTATGAAATGATGATAGGAAGTGGAACATGAAGCACCGCAAAAAGTGTAAGATTTCCAGCTGTGAAGAAATATTCTGGGAACAAGGCTTGTATATGATTATCAATGTTAATCTAGTCCAGAAGCGTGGGCATATGTCTTTGCTGCCTATGAAGTTTTCCTTATTTTCTTTCCTACATTTCTCTACCCATGACTAATTTCCGATTTAGCAGGTTGTTCTGTACCACTGAATATTTGATATTTCTTTCAGAATCAGCAAAAAAATTCTGATATTGTCTATAGATATATCTATATCTATCTCTGTTCATGCACACACACACAGACACACAGACACACACAGACACGCACTCTCTCATCATTCACAGGTGCAGAGGATGTAATCCTGTAATCCTGGCAGAATTGCTTCCAACTGTTGGGATATAACACTCTTTTTCCCACCAGATGGCAGTAACTCCAACTTAATACAACCCGGACTGGTCACCACATGCACAGCAAACAATGGCATACTTCATGTTTGGGATTTTCCTTTAGAAGGAATGTTGATTTTTTTTTGAACATGTGCAGTAGAATTATTCCAGTTTCCTCCTGTTTAATAGCAAAGTGTTCTACTAATAGCTAAACTCAACTTTGATTAGTATATCCCACAAGATTTTTTTTTTTTTTAAACACATATCATTCTGTATATTTTTTTTCAGTATGCTGTAATTTTGTCAGATTGGAGAAGTACAAGTATTATTTTCAATTGTTGTCTTGTTCCAAGAATAATTCCCAAACAGAAACATCTGGGTAACTTTCAAATGCATAATAAACAAAATTTTACAATATATGCAAATGAATAAAAAGACTAAAGGACTCAAGAAAAGGAGGGGAAATGATAAATACCTTTTGCATAATTTTTTGACAAAAGTATTCAGTGTGCAGATTTCTTGACTTATAAAAGCTCAGGGTAAAATCTACACCAAGAATATAGCAGCAAGTACATACTATTTTACACCCCAGCAAAATTCTCTTTAATATGGGGCTGACAATTTCTTTTACTGACAAAACCATAAAAGTTTTTGTCAACATAGTCTAGACACCATAAAAATAATGTAATTTGGTGGATGGGGACTATTCGGTAGGATATCCAGCTCTACGAGCAACTCATCCATTTGTTCTAATCAAAAGATCATTGTTCCCTTTTTATTTCTTTAACTTTTAATTTTCCAGAAGAAAAAGCCCTATATTACAAAAAGAGAACTTCCTTCCTATACTACTAATATTATTATTCCAACTGATTAACTGGGTTTATATTCAACTCTATTCTGACTGCAAAGATAATATCAAAGGTGCATATTCTTATTAATCAAACACTAATTTTTCCAATAAATTTATAACCAAATATGCAGTCTGTTTGGACAGCTGGCTTCCACCATCCTACAAGCAGGGATTAAGATCCCTTTTTTCCTCCCCATGTTTGTTGGTTTGGATTTTTTTTCAGCAGAAAGTAGAGCAAAATTTTCTCAGGATATACAAAAGAAATTAAGTACAGTAATGGAAAGAAAAGACCATAAAAATAATGTTGAAAGTGCTATGTCTACATTCTACTAATTAAATACTAAGCAGCCAATTATACTTCTCTTTCACACTTACAGGGAATGTTCCTGAATATTTAGATTTTAATACCAAAATGCAAATCCCATTTACATGAATTAAATGTAATCCATGGCACTGATTTGGGATACTGGATAAGCAGTATCCCAAGTCAGTGCCATTTGAACTGAAGATGTTCTCAAGATATATTTTAGTTCAAAAGACCTGTTCAAAAACTTTTCATTATGGCTTGATATCCTTCTGAGATTGCATATCCACATCAGCTGGAAGGATGAGCAGAATCCACCACAAAAATAAGTGATTCTTACATAATTTCCTCTTCCTGAAGGAAGAGGAAAAGCAAAGTTATCAAGCACTGTTTAGTATGAACCAAACGAAAATGATATGAAGTGGAAAATGCAAACCTTTGTGAATAACCATGAATGTAAAATCCAACCTTGGCTTGGAAGGAGAAACTGAATGAGTTGTTGAAGAGTACAGAGTAAACACAGGAATTCAACATTTAACATAAAGTGCCAGCATAGAAAGTTTAGCACAACCCTCTCATGTTCAAAGGGATGGCGAAGTAGAAGTAAAGACAACTGCTTTTTCCTCCAACTGCAGGATCAGCAACAATCCTATAGTTACATTTAGAGAATTCTGTGTATTTTGAAAAGGATATGGGAAAAATAGAGGTGAAGGAAGAGACACAAATACTGAATACTGGAGAATACATATTACAGTGAAAGTCTTAAGAGATCTCAGATCTATTTTAGCTAACTTGAACAAATATGTAGCAGTCATAATAGGAAAACAAATACCACCTGTAAGTCCCAGCAGAAAACAATGGAACAATGGGTCAAAGCTGAAGCTGGTCAAATTTAAATTGGGTAAAAGATTTTGATCCTTCATTTAATGAAATAATCATTTTTGCTATGAAGATAAATAGTGGATTAAATGAAAATAATTTCTCGCTTCAAAGAAAAAATGCAAGAGAGTAACAGCACAAAATGTAAAAAACTTAAGAGTTTAAACTACGTGGTACAATGACCCATTCTGATTTGAAACCCAGCCCTATGCTGTGAGGAGAAGCTCCATGTCTGAGTTCCTCAGGAGCTATTTGAAATGCAGAGGGAGCATCCTCTCACTGTCCTGCGAAAGTCAGCATGGGATGGAGAGCAGCTGCACTGCCCTCAGCAGCATGTGCCAGGGGCTGGTCGTGGTGACTGGGACAGGAACTTTGGGGAGTGGTGTCAGGGCTTACCTGCAGCTTGTGGAGCAGCAAACACAGTCCTGCAGTGAGATGGAATGGCAGCTGTACACCTGGAATGGCAGCTGTACACCTGGAAGAGACACAGCACATGAGAGCAGGGATACAGGACTCCTGCAATAAACTGGCTGAGTTTTACTGCTATTTCAAAAGGAAGCCTGTATCAAAGAAAGACATAGCGTTATGTCCCATAACTACACAATATAAAGACAAAACAGAGGAAGCTTTTTTTTTTCTAGAAGACTTGATGAACTTTAAGCTTTTAACAAATTTAAGGGAATTGTCATATACCAGTAATTGAAACAACAAAGTAACATGGTACAACATCTTGTGTCTTGCAGGTCCCATAACCTTTCAGCACATCAAACTGGAGGCACTCTCTTGCTGGATGCACATTTAGTTGTGTGCTGAGCTTTGCATGCAAATAAATTCACAATTTTGTTACTTTTATGAAGACACCAACTCAATTTCTTAAACTTAATTTTAGTACCTGAAAATTCTTTTTTGTCTTTGTGGACTGTTAGAAAACTTATAGAATGAATTAATGCACAAAACTTATATTTATTCTCATCTTCACAGAAAACACAAGGTTGTGTTTAGCAGAATGTATAGGGAAAGTATTAATTGACAATCACATGTCTAGTACAATAAATACAATACTAAGAGAAAACACATGTGGCAGAACCACTATGCTGGCAAAAGATATTTAGCCTACACAGTAAGAAATCCTCCAAACTGTTTGTAATCAGATCATATTTAGTGCCTTCCTTTCATTAACATGGAATTTTTAAAGAAGTGGGATGTTAGAAAATTGTTGTTACACTTAGAGAAAGCACAGGATTTTTAAACGAGGAGCCCTTCAGTTTCTGAGAGCTCAATTAGTATTAATTACAAGTTTAAAGAAGCACCACAACATATTCACATTGATAGTATAGGCATATCTACAGCATAATTACTGTCACTTCAATAAGTGCAGTCATGCATTACACATGCCCTTCTAGGATCAAAGTGGTGGCATATCCAGTCAGAGCTCCTGCTATCAGAGGCAACTGTGTTTCACATTCCCTTTTATAAATGTATCATTTTCCACCTTGCAAACAGTTAGACATGTGTGGAAAAACAAAACCTGACTGCTTCATTGGGAGTCTCCTCCAGAACACTACTGCTTTTATGGCTAGAAATATTCTAACTTCCAGTCTGATTTTCTGCCAATTATTTCTGTCCCAGCAGTGTTCTTCAGATTAGATTGCTCTCCTTCCCTCACAATTGTTCTGTTCCCACTCCTTTCTCTTGGCTTTTATTTTATTGAAGAGAAATAAAGCTGTTAGTATGCTCACAATAACCTTTCCCTTCCCACTATTTGTTTTATTCCCATTTCTTTCTGTGTTTGCTACACCTTTCATGCTTCCTACACCTGGGCACTCCAAATGCTTGGCAGCATTCCTGGGGAGGTTGCTGTGGTGCCTCACGTGGAAGCATTACTAATTTTATTTCATTATCTGAAAGGTCCAACTTGATAGTATTTTAGATTGCATAAACCTTGCTCATGGACTTATCAGACCACTGGAGTTGCAGTTATTTTGGATGAAATTGCTCTTACCTAGTTTTAAGCAGCATCTGTGAGCTAGTCACTGCAGGTCCTTCAGAATCAGAGAGACACTTCACAGCATGATTCATCTGATCTATTTTTAGAGGTTCTGACTGGATGAAATCTGTTGTGCCCTAGAAATGCTCTTCACTGACCATGCCTAAACAAATACCTCTGTTGGAGAGAGCTCGACTGAACCAACTGAAGAGCTTATTTTGTGGTTTATTAATATACTCAACTCCTTCATCTCCTTTAAAAAATCTTGAGATAGCAGATAATAGCAGAAGCAATCATAACCATGTACCTAACTAACATAACTCCATTCCTCACAGTTTCTCAGTTGTGAAGCTTTCTCTGGATTATTCACTGATGGCACTTTTGAATCTCATACTGAAAATGTCTCTTTTAGCACATTTTTAAAACCCACAGTAACTAGAGGCAGCAAAATTTTACTTCATGTAAAATTTGCTTATGTAACAATTTGACAGAATTACAGTTTGACAACTGATATTCTAAGACTAGCACATGAGAAAGAAGAACAGGTGTTTTAAAATATGCTGAATTTTGATCAGTCATAAATGAAAGGATATAGGCTTGGGGAAGTTGGCAGGATGATTTTTGCTATCTCTACCAAACCTCATAAACTACCCCTGCTAAGCAAAAAGCTTGAAATAGTTTAAAAGTAAAATATAAACTTAAAAAAAAAAAACAAAAAAAAAAACCAAAAAATCCCAAAACAAAGCAGAACAAAAAACTCAAGCACAAATATATATTTCTGCTGTCTTCTCCAATGGAATGATTACAGAATTTTTCTGCACAAAGACCAGATTATAATCAGAAGGAATTTGATATTTTCCCTCAACTCCAGAGGCAAATCAAGGTAGTTATTGTACTATATGAACTCACAGTGGATAATTATTTAAACATTGGCTTCTGTTGAATCTTAAGAATTTGCCTGAAATCCTCCAAATATAAGTTATAAAAGAGAAAAAAGTGTAACCACTATATTAATTTTCTTTGCCTTGTGAAGGAAGTGCTAGGTTTTGCAGCAAGTAACAGAAGTTTGACTTGGCCAATGCAGTCATGAAGGTTTTCTTTACATCTCACCAGTTCTACTTACATACAAGCATTTGAACAATTTTTCATGTGACACAAGTGCTAAGACAAAATTCTTTATGAGAGGGGATCACTGAGGCAATTTTAATATAAATCACTGTCAAATTACAGAATATTTGGAAGATTGGTGAACACAAATACAAATAATTCAAAGTGGAGTTGTTCACCAAAGCAAAAGTTATTATGGGTACTTGTTATCCTACTTGGTGCTCAAAAACCAAAAATCAGAATAACTCTCAGAAGAGCAAACACTGAACAACTTCACTCCTTGAACCACAGTACCAAAATTATCAAATTCCAGATAGTTCAGATAGTTCAGGCTCATGGGCAAATTCATGGACAGGATGTCCATACAGAGATACTGAAGGGTATGGGTAGGATGTCCCCTCTAGCATCACACATCCAAAAATTACAAATGCCAAGGGACTATGAGGGAAATGGATTACCATTCAGACCCAAAATCCCAGTCACAGAAGGTTGAAGAGATGTCATTTCACACAAATATGAAAGATTTTTTTCAGAATTTAATTTATACTTTTTAATGTCATACTATCAACCATCATGCCCCTCATAAATCAAAAATCATCAGATTTCTCATTCTTTATGAAAATTATTTTTTCTTAGGCCAGAACTATCATAAATATATCATTGACAATGGCGTAATTGCACATGTATACTGATCTTTTCAAAGTTTCTATTTTCTGAAATGACTGGTCTTGTTTTGCAGTCTGATATGTATTCTTTCACATAAAACTTTGGATGCTTGCTCTAGTTTGCAAAATACCCTACTCTCAACCATAAACAGGATTTTTTTCACGAGTAATTATTGTTAATAATGTATAACTTCCAGAGCTCTTCAATATATACAAATACAAGGCAAATTTCCACCCTGATTCTGAAATAGGATGCAATAATTCTATCAAAAGCTTATCTTTGGTATATAATAAAAATTAGTCAATTTTTCTTCCTGAAACTCCCTCTTTCATGATTAATTCTTTAGTTAGGAAAGGGAAAATGCAAATATGAAAAAAAAAATTTAAAAAGGAAGAGGAAAATGCTGTGAAAAAAAAAAAGACATTTTAAATAAGAAGAATCGTTGCTATGGTCATCTGAAAATATTAGAAAGGCAAAAAAAAAAAAGCCATGTTTTCTATTTGTTTTTAATTGTTTTCTACTTGTTTTCTATTGTTTTCTACTTTAGGATAATGAGTCTTGCAGATCAGAAAGCAAATCATATTCTGGGCTGCATCTAAAGCAGCATGGCCAGCAGATGACTCTTCCCCTGTACTCCACTCTCATGAAACCCCACCTGGAGTTTTGTGTCCAGCTCTGGGGCTCTCAGAACAACACAGACTTAGATTTTTTGGAGAGAGCTCAGAAGTGGCCATAAAAGTGATCAGAGGGCTGGAGCAAATCTCCTATGAAGACAAGAGGAGAGAGTTGCAGTTTCAGGCCTGGAGGAGAGAAAGCTTGGGGAAAACCTTATTGGGACCCTTCAATACTTGAGGAGATTTAGAAAGCTGGAAGTGACTTTTTACAAGTGCTTGTAGCAAAAAGACAGGGGGAAATGAATTTAAGCTTAAATAGAATACATATAGGTTAGATACTAGGAACAAATTCTTCACTCAGGGTGGTGAGGCTCTGGCACAGGTTACCCAGAGAAGCTGTGGATGCCCCATCCCTGACAATGTCCAAGGCCAGGCTGGATGGGACATTGAGCAACCCAGTCTAGTGTAGGGTGTGCTCATGGCAGGGGGGTTGGAACAAGATCATCTTGACCCTGAGATGAGCTCAGTTGGTCAGAGCATGGTGGTAATAATGCCAAGGCTGTGAGTTTGATCCCTGTATGGACCATTCACTTTAGGCGTGGACTAGGTCATGCTTGTGAGTCCTGTCCAACTCAGAATAATCTTTAAGTTTGTGATCTTTCATGTCCCCTCCAATCAAAACTATTCTGTGATCTATGGCTGTTTGGCAGGTCCAGCTCTTTGCAATAAATATTTCTGCCCTGAGATCATATCACATGTGATTGTGATCTTAACTTAGCCAGCTTCTACACAAGAAAAAAAACTGTTATTGATGTTGTTTTGCATGTCTCTGTTAAAAATCTATGACAAATATCACATTATTTTAGACTAACATTATTTCTGTAATGTTAAGGATTCCCTTTCTGTGAACAGCATATAAGCATTAAAGGAACATCTACTTATCAATAAGAGAGGCTCAGAAAATGACAGCCCTGAAAAGAACCTCATACACTTGAGATGCTCCTGGGATCAGACTAACTTCTAATGCAAAACTTCAGAGAACTATGACACTGAGTGAGAAAATATGACTTTCTGATCATTTGAGAGTTCTTCTTGCACCTG